GAAAATTATTCCTCAGTATGCGATACAACAGGTTTGTGAAACTTTACGAGACAAACCGTAATTTTGTAGTTGATGAAAATATTAGTTCGATTTTTAATGAATGTTAGAGAAAATATTATATGATATTTTTTGGAAGCTTTTCAAGTCCATACGATAACAATGGCAATAGTTTAATGGAACAGCAGTGCACCAGTATTTTAATGAGAAACACATATCCCCCGTTATAGGAAATAGCAGGCATGTGAAAGTTTTCGTGACAAACCGTAATTTTGTAGAGGATGACAATATTAGTTCGATTTTTAAAGAATGTTAGAGAAAATAATATTTGATATTTTTTGGAAGCTTTTCAAGTCCATACGATAACTATGGCTATAGTTTAATAGAACAGTAATGCACTAGTATTTTTTTCAGCGACAATTATTCCTCAGTATAGGATACAACAGGTATGTGAAACTTTACGAGACAAACCGTAATTTTGTAGAGGATGAAAATATTAGTTTGATTTTTAAAGAATGTTAGAGAAAATAATATTTGATATTTTTTGGAAGCTTTTCAAGTCCATACGATAACAATGGCAATAGTTTAATAGAACAGTAATGCACTAGTATTTTTTTCAGCGACAATTATTCCTCAGTATAGGATACAACAGGTATGTGAAACTTTACGAGACTAACCGTAATTTTGTAGAGGATGAAAATATTAGTTTGATTTTTAAGAATGTTAGAGAAAATATTATATGATATTTTTTGGAAACTTTTCAAGCCCATACGATAACAATGGCAATAGTTTAATAGAACAGTAATGCACTAGAATTTTTTTCAGAGACAATTTTTCCTCAGTATACGATACAACTGGTATGTGAAACTTTACGGGACAAACCGTAATTTTGTAGAGGATGAAAATATTAGTTTGATTTTTTAGAATGATAGAGAAAATATTATTTGATATTATTTGGAAGCTTTCCAAGTCCTTACGATAATAATAGCAACAGTTTAATGGAACAACAGTGCACCAGTATTTTAATGAGAAACACATATCCCCCGTTATAGGAAATAGCAGGCATGTGAAAGTTTTCGTGACAAACCGTAATTTTGTACAGGAAGACAATATTAGTTTGATTTTTAAAGAATGTTAGAGAAAATAATATTTGATATTTTTTGGAAGCTTTTCAAGTCCACACGATAACAATGGCAATAGTTTAATGGAACAGTAATGCACTAGTATTTTTTTCAGCGACAATTTTTCCTCAGTATAGGATACAACAGGTATGTGAAACTTTACGAGACAAACCGTAATTTTGTAGAGGATGAAAATATTAGTTTGATTTTTAAGAATGATAGAGAAAATATTATTTGATATTATTTGGAAGCTTTCCAAGTCCTTACGATAATAATAGCAACAGTTTAATGGAACAACAGTGCACCAGTATTTTAATGAGAAACACATATCCCCCGTTATAGGAAATAGCAGGCATGTGAAAGTTTGCGTGACAAACCGTAAATTTGTAGAGGATGAAAATATTAGTTCGATTTTTAAAGAATGTTAGAGAAAATAATATTTGATATTTTTTGGAAGCTTTTCAAGTCCATACGATAACAATGGCTATAGTTTAATAGAACAGTAATGCTCTAGTATTTTTTTCAGAGAAAATTATTCCTCAGTATGCGATACAACAGGTTTGTGAAACTTTACGAGACAAACCGTAATTTTGTAGTTGATGAAAATATTAGTTCGATTTTTAATGAATGTTAGAGAAAATATTATATGATATTTTTTGGAAGCTTTTCAAGTCCATACGATAACAATGGCAATAGTTTAATGGAACAGCAGTGCACCAGTATTTTAATGAGAAACACATATCCCCCGTTATAGGAAATAGCAGGCATGTGAAAGTTTTCGTGACAAACCGTAATTTTGTAGAGGATGACAATATTAGTTCGATTTTTAAAGAATGTTAGAGAAAATAATATTTGATATTTTTTGGAAGCTTTTCAAGTCCATACGATAACTATGGCTATAGTTTAATAGAACAGTAATGCACTAGTATTTTTTTCAGCGACAATTATTCCTCAGTATAGGATACAACAGGTATGTGAAACTTTACGAGACAAACCGTAATTTTGTAGAGGATGAAAATATTAGTTTGATTTTTAAGAATGTTAGAGAAAATATTATATGATATTTTTTGGAAGCTTTTCAAGCCCATACGATAACAATGGCAATAGTTTAATAGAACAGTAATGCACTAGAATTTTTTTCAGAGACAATTTTTCCTCAGTATGCGATACAACAGGTATGTGAAACTTTACGAGACAAACCGTAATTTTGTAGAGGATGAAAATATTAGTTTGATTTTTTAGAATGATAGAGAAAATATTATTTGATATTATTTGGAAGCTTTTCAAGTCCATACGATAACAATGGCAATAGTTTAATAGAACAGTAATGCTCTAGTATTTTTTTCAGAGAAAATTATTCCTCAGTATGCGATACAAGAGGTATGTGAAACTTTACGAGACAAACCGTAATTTTGTAGAGGATGAAAATATTAGTTTGATTTTTAAGAATGATAGAGAAAATATTATTTGATATTATTTGGAAGCTTTCCAAGTCCTTACGATAATAATAGCAACAGTTTAATGGAACAACAGTGCACCAGTATTTTAATGAGAAACATATATCCCCCGTTATAGGAAATAGCAGGCATGTGAAAGTTTTCGTGACAAACCGTAATTTTGTAGAGGATGACAATATTAGTTCGATTTTTAAAGAATGTTAGAGAAAATAATATTTGATATTTTTTGGAAGCTTTTCAAGTCCATACGATAACAATGGCAATAGTTTAATAGAACAGTAATGCACTAGTATTTTTTTCAGCGACAATTATTCCTCAGTATAGGATACAACAGGTATGTGAAACTTTACGAGACAAACCGTAATTTTGTAGAGGATGACAATATTAGTTCGATTTTTGAAGAATGTTAGAGAAAATAATATTTGATATTTTTTGGAAGCTTTTCAAGTCCATACGATAACAATGGCAATAGTTTAATAGAACAGTAAAGCACTAGTATTTTTGTCAGAGACAATTATTCCTCAGTATACGATACAACAGGTATGTGAAATTTTACGAGACAAACAGTATTTGTATAGCAGATGAGAATATTTTTTTTATTTTTAAAGAATGATAGAGAAAATATTATACGATATTTTTTGGAATTTTTCCAAGTCCTTACGATAACAATGGCAACGGGTTAATGGAACAGCGGTGCACCAGTATTTTAATGAGAGTGTCAGAGTAATATCTAGTCGGTTCTCGCCATTGTTCACGAGAATAGTGATAACCTGTATGTTTATTTATGCGTTTGGATTGTGACCGCGATCCTGATCGAGATCGATAGTCTGTTCGGTGTTTTGAGCGTCTGTTCTGTTGTTCAATCTCAGATTCGCTTTTCGATGAATATCCTTTGTTCCTTCTGTGTCGGTGGATATGTCTTGATCGGTTCCGGTCAGAGTGGTCAGGTCGTTGTGGCTCTCTACTGTAGCGATTGTCAATGGATGTATTGTCTTCGCTATCTGAATATTTATTTACTCGTCTTCTTTTTCCTAATCGTTTGCTATCTCTGTGGTTATCTCTATCACTATGAGTTTCTCTTGATGAGCTGAAGGAATAGATGGTCGGCGAGAACAATTATTGTGACGTTCCCTTACTCTGTCAATTCTTTTACTTTTTTGTATCTCATTTATTCTGTCTGGTCGTGATATATCTTGTTGTTGATTGTCATCGGAAGATTCCTCTTCCTCTGAATACTGTTTCTTATGCCGGACTGGTTGATCTCTGTTCATTTTTACAGGGTCCTTTGTAGGTTTCACATTAGAAGTATGATTTTTATCTAAATTGTTTTTACTGTGTTGTTTGGTCTAGCCTTTTTCACACGTTCATCTGTGGTTGCAAGCTTTGTCCTGGGCGGTTTGACTGTGGCAAGGTCTGATCTGTATTTGTTCTGGTCAATATTTGACGGACCATGTATTTCTCTAGTTACACCCCAGGTTACTCGTTCCTTGAGTAGTGGTTTTGAACGCCTACGTGTTCTTTTTTCACTCTCTGATGGTGAGTCAGTGTTGCTGTCAAACTAATTTGACTGTCTAGTACGCATTTTGCGAGGTCTAGTGTATGTCGGTGAACGTGGTGCTTGAGCACGGGAATAGTCATCATCCGATGTGATTTGTGCTATTTCCAATTCTCTAGTCCTGGTTGTTTGTCTATTGGTATTGTTTGGTTCCGTTTCATTAAGGACGTTTCCCTGCCTTAACCAAAGTATAACAGAACTTCACGAAACTTTTTGGTATGATACTTTAGAGTATTCCGAACCCACACGCATTTTTTGGAGATACGTTATAATCCAAAAACTAGAGAAATTTAATAATTATGATGAGCATTTTAACACGTGGTCTTATGGAAGCGCGATTGAAATGGCCAATAAATCTTGCCAGAAATAACATAGGCGAACAAATTTTTGATGACTAATAAGAAAAACATATTATTATTAAACACTCAAAGTTTCAAACCATCTTATAACAGTTATTATTACGAAATTAATATAAATAACAAGAAAATAGTACATTTGAGATAAACTTGGCAACGCCGCATCGTGCAGTTCTATGAGAGACGCCGCGCGTGCGCATACGATAGTCGGCGGTAAATTTTAAATACATCGGAATAATAGATCGATTGATATTTTACATCGGTATATCAATATTGCATAGAAAGAAATATGGTTTTTTTTTATTTATTAGCTAGAAAATAAAATTGTCATAATCTTTCAAGTAATAATACTTTGTAATAAACAAAATTTTTATTCGTAGAACTACAAAACAGTACGTATCATTTATATAAATATTAAAAATGTTTTCAACGCTTAATTTATCGCTATAAATAATATTAATAAAGGATAGTATGAAATTATGAATCACTGGAAGTTCATAAATTTTTCCAATAGCTACTCTTTCGTGACGAACTTCAAATGTTCAATAATGGCATTTAAATTTTTGGTTGTTTTTATCACTGTTGGTGACCCATTCACGTTACCTTGTAACAACTGCTTAGCCTGATCTTCTCCGTTGATAAATGCATCAATTAAATCATAGTAGGTAAAATTTTGTTCGGATAATCTTTGCATCATTGTTTTGGAAATAGTGCCGTCCAAAGGTAGGAAGGTGTGTATATTAATTTTACTGCGTTGCTTTTTGTCAATAGCGGCACAAATGTCATCAAATGTTGCATTTGTTGCCAGTAAATCATTCAATTGTAGAAATGCTTTTGCCAGCTTTTCTAATACTTCTACGTCAAATTGCGCATCATGAGCTTCGGAGCAAGAAATATTCAATTTACACGCCGCTAAAGTTGTAAGCTTATAATTTTCAACGTCAACAATTGTTTTCCTGAACAGTGGCAGCGTATCAGTGAAACCTACAACTACTTTTTTGAAGTCACAGAGAAAATCACAACTTTTTATCAAAAGAATAAATCGTTTCGAATCAAATTCGCAATTATGCGCAACTAAGATACATTTTTTACCTATAGCTTTTAAGAACTGTAATACTTCAGATACAACAACTGCTTTCGCGCGTGTTACTACTTGCTCGCCATTTTTATACAAATTTTTATTAATTCGAGTCAGGTTGTGTACTTCGGAAGCTCTCGGATTAATTGCACGCGTTGGTGTAAGGTAACAGACATAAGACTTGTCATCACACTTTAATGAGATTTGTAATACTTCGTCCTTAAACATATCAAACCCACCCGTCTCTAAGTCAAAAAAAACAATGGCCGTATCATTCGAGTGAAATATTGCTGAACTATTCACATCTTTGGCTTCTGGATTACTAGTGTCTTCTGCAACCGAAGTTTGCGTAATCGAATAATCATCGTTATCGAAAAGGGACATATGGCTACTGTATGCAAGCCCTTTGCTCTTTTCTTTGCGATATTTTAATTGAGACCGCGCCTGCGCGAGCTCAATACGCCTTCTCTTGAAACTAACTTCTTTTTCTCTTAACTTGCGTTTTGAAGCGCATTGATTTGTACGTTGGATACGATTAGCAAGTCGCTCTGTTGATTCCATACCTAAAGCATGAAAAATACTGCTGATATATGCTTCTCCGTAATTCTTGTGTAGGACTGTACAGGCAAATCTATAATCGGAAGCCTCAGATGTACTATAGCAAATTCTTTTCGGAGCAGAACTAGCCATTGAATTGTTCAGGCTCTCATTAGCTTGCGACGATGCTGCCATTAAAAACTTCGTAGCATTCGCAGCAAGTTTGTCAAATAAAATTACCAGTTCATCAAACAATACTTGACTTTTTAACTGCAGTCCGACGTAATTTTCTTTATTTTCATTTGCTTTACACCACGATCCACACTTATCATGAAGATTATAAGCATGATATGGTATATTAGTTATAGCATCTTTCATTTCTTGAAGATTTCCAACATTTTTTTTGACTGCGTAACTAAAATATTTTTTTAAAGTTTTTATGTGTCGTGTTGCAATTCACGATCAGGATCTTTATTTGTTTTCGAACTGATGTTGTAAAGGGCATTACTGACACCTTTTGCTGTGTGATTCATATCGGATTGCTTAATTATCACATAATTAGAGGCATTTTGCACTGCATTTATGCTGCTACTGTCATTGTCGGCAATGAAAACGCCAATTTCAACATTTGATTCTTTTAGGATTTTACTTTCAGTAACAAGTTTTAAAGCACCTTCGGCTTCCATGCCTTTGGCGCTGCCATGAAAATTGAGGCGACAATCATGATCTTTTTCAATATTATTTTTTTTATTTTCATCGCACTGTCGACATTTCCTATTGAAAGTAACGTAATCCAAAACCATGCCCGTTTGCAGTCCAATAAGACAACCGTATCCATTAAGGCTATCATAATTGTATCCATTGGAACGCTGACTCCACCCAAAATCGAAAGAAGCAAACAGTCTTACTCGTTGAATCTCTTGGCCATTCACAAATGTAGAATACGATAGGTAATCATCTGCAGTCCCAGGAGGCCTATATTTAATAAGAAATAACATGACCTATGTTTTTCCATGATACGACCATTAGGAATTTTATAAACAAAAAATATTCAGGAATAATGTAGTATGGTTTATTTTTGACATTTTTAACAGCTTACGTATTATTTATTGTAAAAATATAATTGTAAATATTATTAAGTTAGATTGCTAACAAAAGTAATTTCATACAATGTAAAAATCAAATTATATGCATGATTATATGTATAAATAAAAAGTAATCTTAACTTATGCATGTTATTGCTAATATACACTTATATACCGAAATTATTGTTTATCTTAGGCTATAATTATTTTTTCCTTGGCAATATGTCTCCATTGCCAATTATTTGTCAACATCGAAATTCTAGCATGATTGTATATATGTATATAAATTTTAAATTACTTTATCACTAACTTCTAAAAAAATCAAAATATGCGCCTATTATACAGCGAATTCAATCGAAGGATATTTAACATTATCATTCACTATAGGCAACTTACAACATTTTCTTCAAAGAATCTAACTTTTCTACTGTGAGTGCTCGTTCAAATTCCACTGCATGAATGGAACTTGTTTTTGCTGTTTCTTCAATTATTGGGCCGACAAATCTTTCCTGATTTTTATAGTTGCTTTTTGATAAAATTGGAATCTCAAATGTGCTCAGAAAACTGTCTGCTTGAGTGTGCCCTATTCCTGCACGTATAGCTCCTGTCAATAATAATATTATCATAAGAAACCTAATAAAAATATACGATTGCCATATAAATTATTAAATAATTATTTTACCTATGGCCAATTTTTGATTGATTTCAAAAACCTTTTGCCCAGTACCGCCAGGCATAACGTTTACAGGGCTACTTGATACGACTTGAATACTCTCACAAGCAGTGCATTTCATTTTATAATACGACCCCATTCCTTGTATTGTTTCATTGATAACATCGTTAAAATGTAGTCTTTCTTTGCTTTTCTTGCAGTGCATTTCCTTGGCCATGTGCTCTACGTTTATAACACGCGATCCTTCGACAGGGTGTTTAGAGGTTAAATCGCTCGAGTCTTTTTCGCACGGCTCTTCTGCTGGAAGAACGCATCTTCCTTTATTGCTTTTCCCATTTTCAGATCTTCGTAGCATATGTTCATAAACACTTTTCTTCACATATCTACCTTTCCAGTGATACCTTGCCGGAGGCATTGCACTTTATTTGTCAATAAACAAAACTCGCCTCTTTCAGTCTACCTAGCAGCATGTAAGTATATCACGCATAGCAGTATACATATATAAGTATCTCATGCGCGACGTTGCCAAGTTTCAACTCAACGTCGATAATCAAGACAACTACTGTGGAATGGTTAAGGCAGGGAAACGTCCTTAATCTGATTCCATGTCAATGTTGGTGAGGTTGTATGGAATTGTTTCGGTGGCGTTGCTTGTCGACGGATGGTATCTACGTCGATTGGTAGGTCAATTAGTTGATCCGTTTCTGTTGTCGGGCGCTCGTCTATTTCTAATTCTTCGCCTGCTGTTGACATTGCATCTGTCGTATTTGATTTTGGGGGCTGGTTGGCAGTTTTGTTAGAGTCAGTTTCATGTTCTTCATTCCATAATATTCTAGCGAATGGCGGAAAACTGTCTATTCTCTGACTGCGGGTCATGGACGGATTAGCTGACAATCTCTGTTCTCGAATTACCCATCGCAGGAGTTCTAATCGGTCTGTGTTCTCTTCGTTTGATATTCGCCATTCACCTTGACGCAATTCATTACGAATTTCCTCTTCCGTATTGTCAGCTATTCTATTTGCTATGTCTCTGGCTATTTTATTCTTCTTTAAAATATATAGCAGGTCAGCGTTAGATAGTGGCGGTTTAACTGTTGTTCTGGCTGGGATGTCATCATGAGTCATAACCATTTTTATTAATTTAATTTATCTACTATTGGTTTAAGTTAATTTCCTATAATATCCGTTCGGCAGTGACCAAATCCGAAACCTTCCCAGCGTCTGAACTGTCAGAGTCTGGTGTCAACTCCAAGCTATACGCGAACCTCAAACGAACTTGAACTGTCGCTCCTTGAAATAGTTTCAAGTCAGACTTTGAACTGTCAAAGTCTGTGGCAAAGTAATCGTACTGTTCAAGTCTGAACTGTCAGTACCTGACACAGTCGAGTTCAATTCGTTGTGAGTCTAAGTTCTATAGCCAGGATTTTGGGGCTTCGGAATTGGCCTTCACGGGTACGTAAGATCGGTCAGGTTTTATGTGCTATCCTGATTTTCTTCTAATAATATACTGGTTGTCTTCAAAATTACTGTTTATCAATTTAATATTGATGGTCAAAAATGCTAATAATCAGTATTGTATACTGATGGTCAGAAAATATGCTAGTTATCAGTATTGTATACTGATGGTCAGAATTGCTGAAAATAAGTTTGTTAAATAGTTATATCAGATTCAACAGTCAATTACATAAACATGCTTATTTTAAAATGTTAATAACATATAATAAACATAAATATAATATAATTATTAATATATAATAATAGGGCGGTCTGACTAATTCGCAAAGTTCTGATCGGTAACTATACACGGATTTAAAAGTTGGGCGCCACTTGTGGCAGGGAATTTCGGGGGTGTTGACCGCGCTCCGAGTTCTTCCGCCACAAGGCCTGTTTGGCTCTACCCCCGATTATTTAGGGCGCCAGACCGTCGGCTAATTACGGCGATCGTCGGGGGTAAGGCCAGTCGGGTTGTCGCGTATCCCGGTCTGTCTAACGGCGACTGCGCAGAGTGGGCAAACGGGGATACGCGTTGTGTCCTGACTTCAGGCCTTTGGTGTCCAACTTTCCTTCGTTTTCTCCTTGACTAGGGCATGCCGGCAGCTCAGGTGATGGCTCCTTGATTCAGGTCGTGAATACGTTCGAAATCGAGCGTATGTTACCTATCGAGTGACCCGAAAATATAGCGAATTGGTGATACCCGATTATGACCGTTCGCGGCTGAAAATCACTAACATACAGTCGAGGAGGGATACCAAAGCAAATTATATGTATATAGATAATTAATCACTTTATTGATATATTAGTAATTTACAATTAAGAGGTCGGAGTGAATAGGGCTGGTAAAAATCTGAATAACTATAAATCCGTAAGGATACAATTTAATTGGAACATTAATGATTTTCCGGTCAGTTTTCGATTAGCAAGAAGAGAGGGTCAGCGCAAATAATTCAGTCGCGAATTTCCTTTGTATGATCTTACCGCTCAGACTCGGTTCATAAAATGGCGGAAAGGTCAGCGCGAATATCCCCGAGTTCAATTTTCCTGGGTTAATCCTAACGTTCACATTCGGTTCACGAAATGGCGGGAAGGTCAACACAAATAGCTAATCAAGACAATTTGATTCAATGGAACCTACGTTTGTAATAAATAACTAACGAAAGGTCAGCGCGAATACTAAATCGCAATTTTCTTTTATAAGACCTAACGCTCAAATTCGGTTTGCGAAATGGCGGAAAGGTCAGCACAACTAATTAATCAAGACAATTTGATTCAATGGAACCTACGTTTGTAATAAATAACTAACGAAAGGTCAGCGCGAATACTAAATCGCAATTTTCTTTTATAAGACCTAACGCTCAAATTCGGTTTGCGAAATGGCGGAAACGTCAGCACAACTAATTAATCAAGACAATTTGATTCAATTGAACCTACGTTTGTAATAACTAACTAACGAAAGGTCAGCGCGAATGCTAAATTGCAATTTTCTTTTGTAAAACGAACACTTAATAGAAGTTGACGAAAGGTCAGCGCAAATACTAAGTCGCAATTTTCCTTCGTAAAATCTACACTCAATAACTGGTAAACGAAAGGTCAACGCGAATCCTAAATCGCAATTCTCTTTCGTAAAACGAACTCTTAATAGAAGTTGACGAAAGGTCAGCGCGAATACTAAGTCGCAATTTTCTCTCGTAACCGAACACTCAATTTATATTCACGGAATGGCGGACAGGTCAGCACGATCCGGTAGGCACCGGCGTCGACGGATCCACGCGTCGCGACGACCTATGGTACTGAACTAAATAAGTTAACTAATCTAACCCGCACTCCGCGATTAAATAAAATGAGTGGCACTTTGCCTACTTACAATTTCTCCTTGCGGTATTAGCAAACAAATTGGCAAGATATCTGAGGCGTCTAGCGCTAAAAATCTGACAACGATTAGCTGTTAGAGAGGCTCCTTCCTTGCGGATATCCAGTGGCAAAATGGACGAGAATCGGCTTCTCGCGGTCAAAGATCGTTTCTCTTCTCCTCTTTCCGAGAAGAAATGTTATTATTGGTCGGTATGCTAATTCGGATATCGGTAGCGCCCTCCGAATTTTTATCATTGGTCCGTATGTAAATT